GGACTTGGAAGAAGATGTTATCACCATAGAATTTGGCTGCGGGTGTGAGAAGAGAAATTCGGCATCTGACTCTTGTACATATGGTCCAGTTTCCTTGTGGACACAGGAGCAGAAAAAGGCTTTAGCCATGGTGACTTTGCCGCCTGCAGAAGGACAGAGGACATGGGCAATGCCAGGGTGGACGAGGTGTCTAGCTGAACTATATCGTAGACAGCATCTGTTGCCTGCGGATGTTGCTGGACGACAGAGAGGCCTAAGGAGTGGGCCATTCTCTTGACTAGGTCAGTTTAAATGGTAAGGTTGTCAGATGGAGAGACAGGTAAGTCTTCCGCGACATCCTGGTTGGGAGATGTATGGTCAGGAGAGGTATGAGCCCCAGAAGCCACTGTATCTGAGTCCTCTTCCATGAAGTCACAGGAGTCTTGTTGTGGTGTGTGGACCGAAGTGTCCTGTTGTGGTTTAGGTTGGACGGCAGGAACGACAGGGTTTGGAGTGACCGGAGGATTGAGAGGACGACTTGGTTCCAGAACGTGCTGGGACGGATTGACTACTGGAGGACGGCGACAGAGATGCTGAAGGCTTCGACTTGTGCGGGGATCTCGACCTATGAACTGAGTGGGACGAATAGCTATCCCAATCTGAATAGCCCGCTGGAGTCAACCACGGCATGGACAGTGGATAAGCCCCGTAGAGGTATCTCAACTGCCGTTGATCCCACGACATCGGTGGTGGTGGTGGGGGGGTAGGAAGACTCTGGGTGAGCGACTTCTGGACCATGGACGTCTGGGAGACAAAGCAGTACCTTGTCTGCGGAAATTGTCCCTGTAATGTCGGTCGTCGATATCAACAGATTGAGTGAGCAGACGAGGAGGGTGACGCTGCGTGTCACATGAGGAATATGGGTGCCAACGTGGATCAATGTCGGGAGCTTCCGATATCGTCGATGTCGATGACGGAGAAGGAGACGGAGAATGCTCTGCATCCATCTGATGACTTAGGAGCTCTACCGTTTCGATGTTGGAGTAAGGAGGCTCCATCTGGTGGACAGGGGAGTCCAATACATGGATGGTCGGTATCGGCAGAGGGACTTGGGTCTCCGATATCGATACTGCCGTTGGAGCGGGAGGCACTATAGGGGCATCACCCAGTGCAGGCACCGCTTCTTTCCCCTTCTTCGCCGCCTTAAAGGACTTGGAGGTGCCCTTCTTAGCTGATTTATGTTCTGTACTTGACTTAACCTTCTTTTTGATTGGCGTGGAGGCAGACGATTGGGCCTTCGATGTCGGGGGCTTTAGTGTTGGGCGGTCGACATCGGAGGCAGGTCTCGATGCCGGAGCTGTCGATGTAGACGGTCTCTCCTCCATCGCTGAGGCAGGAGCAAGGGCCGATTCAAGCAACGCCACTTTAAGGTTCTTCCTCGTTTGGTATGTCATGGCACAGGGGATGTTGCGCCTGGTGGCTGTTTGGGGATGGGGCCGGAAGCGGGCAGAAGCCCTGGAAAGCAGGAGAACCCCCTGCTGGGACCTGGGGACTAGCAATCCAAGCCCAGGCTCATAACAGGCCTAAAGAAAGACCAAAAGGTATCATGGGCTGATGTGTCATTGAGAACGGCTGAAGCTGCTCTGCCACCAATTGCTCAATCAGTTTTCATGGAAATGGAAAATGGGACACTGACCTTTAATCGCTCACCAGCCCCTGACCAGTGAAAGTTTTTTTCAAAAGAAGACTAACAATGATCAATAATAAAGTTTGAGTCCAGGGGCACCTTTAAGACCAACAAAGTTTTATTCAAGGTGTGAGCTTTTGTGTGCATGCACACTTCTTCAGATACACTGAAATGGAAGTTACCAATCCATACATATAGCTACAGGGTGAGCAGCAAATTAGCATACAGCATAATGAAGATGTTTCTGCAGTTGCCAGCATGTGCTCAATGGTCTGATGAGGTATTATGGATATGATGCAAAGAGACCTTGTGGATTCGAAACTCACTATTCAGTTAAAAAGTGAAAGCAGCTTACTATTTACCCTTTTCCCTTCAGTAGTGGTCTCAGGTAGATACAGGGGTGTCCCGTATAAGGATAGACTCTGCAACTGTAATCTTGGGGAACCCGATTCTGTTACCCACATTCTTTTTCGCTGTCCTAAATATTCCGCTATGCGCAATATCTTGATACGTCCTCTCTTCCCTATGCAGAGAGACTTTCTGGATAGGGACTTATCTTTTTTCCTAGCAGACAAGAGTCCAGCAACAACACTATCTGTCGCAGAATTTTTGACTTATGTATGGAAGTCAAGAGTAATACCCTGTAAATCTTGTAAACCATGTTAGGATTGTTTTGCACTTTTGAGATATTGGGAATTTTGATTGATGTTGTTCTTTGTACCTACCCTTAAACTCTCCCCTGTTTGATTTATCTATGGTATGCCAAATAAAGGTTCTCTGTTCTGTTCTAAATACATCTTTTTAAATTGTTGTTGACAGGGTCTCAGCTGATAACTCTCAGCTTTCCACAATAGCAAAGGCCTTCAGTATCATGCCCAGGGTTTGCACATACCTTTCTGTCAGTTCATTCACACCTGGTGATGGGCCACAAGGGTGTGCTTAATTCCTAGAAAAATTCTCCTGGACTTCAGCTTTCTCCCCTGACCATTCACCCTCTTCTTTTTCCAAGTTGCCCTTGGCCGAGGCTAGAATCGAGGAGGACTCCGCATTCTGTCACTGGGGAAGGCGGACACCTTATCAACCTCTTGGCTTGGGATGTCAGCTCCTGGGCTCTGGGCCTTTTGTATAGACCTGGACATGTGGAGGGCTGGGCCTCATCCTCAGAAGTTTCTGAGGACTGGGAAGTTGCACGTTTTGTCTTTGCTGGGGGCCTGACTCATTTAGGTCGTGGTGGTGCAGATGTCTCTGACTCCAATGGTGCCGAAGAGTCAGGGGGAAGGGGAGGCCCTCCAGCGGACCTCCCTCCCTCTTCAGGCTCCTGATGGTGACATTACATCCCCCTGTGGTCAGGCTGTAAACGGGTAGGCTGGCGTAGCAGTGTTGCCTTGATTACTGTATACGGCTCCCCAGGCTGATGCAATTGGCTATGGGCCCCTGAGGGTCTGCATCATTGACTCTGTTTCCGCAGGGAAAAATAGACCTGGTGCCATGTTTGGGTCCACCCACATAGCCACGTGTCTGGGGGAAAGAAGGCCTGCCTGGTCCCACTGCCCCCATAGTTGAGATTGGGCGTCGGCCTGGGTGTGTTTCGGGGGGGGGGGGGGATCACACCAGGAGGGCTCTCCAGCCCAGTGTCCATCCTGTAAGGCTCTGCCGCACGCTGTGAGGTCGCGCCACAATTTGAGGCTGCTAAGCTGGTTGGGGCTACCTGTTTCGGCACACTTATTCCCTCCTTGCTTAGCGGAGGGAGGAGGCTGTAACCGGAAGCTTTAGTTTGCTCTCCTTGCGCGGCTGGTCTCGCTGCCTCCAGGAGAATCTTCCAAGGTCGCCTCTACACCACCCAAAACTTCAGATGGGGACCTTTCCCTGGCTTCCTTCCTCTTCTTCCTTGTTGCAGTGGTCAATTGTTTCGCTGTTGCAGGGGCTGCTCCAACTGGACCTTGTTCTAGTTCCATCATATTGTGGTATTTACAAGCAGAAGGCTTCCCAAAGGGAAAAAAAAATGTTCTCCTAGTTCTTTTTTTTTTTTAGGGGGGCGGTTTTCCAAGTTTGGCATGGAGTAGAGCTCAAACCTCCTATCAGAACAGCAGGGCTATCCAAACTGGTCAGCCTTTCTTGGAGACATATCTTCAAAAATCTCTTCAGAACTCACACACAGTTTGTGTGATGAGAGCTCTACAATCCATCTTCTTTCTGTTGCAGTGATCTGAGGAATGAGGCATGCCCCCTCTTTTCCTCACAGAACCAGAAGGATGGGACAAACCATGGTGTCAGATTGCCTTGTGCTCTGATCAGCTCTGACATTTTCCACAGCAATCCTGCACATGTGCAATTCCCATGTGAGATTGTACAGAACAACAAAACTGCACATTAAACCACCAATAATTGGAAGCTTTATGTACAAAATTTAAAACATATCATATCATCATAATGATTCTGTCCATGTTTAAAACTAGGGATGAGAAGATACTGTCATTCATTATTTTCTATTCCACATGTAGTAATTGGCTTGTATCCTACCACTTATTAAGCCAAGTCCGAAGTCTTCCTACACCCCATGGATCCTTGCTCTGATGGAAGAAACTCTTCTGTCAGAGGAAGTCTCTTTCTTTGGCAGAAAGTCCCTTGGGCTGGAAGAAAGCTTGAAACCTGCCTGAGCAGAGGTAGTGAATATGTCATTGTCACTGGTCTCTGTTAGTCACTTCCCATACTTGTCTTTTTATCTCTTTACTACATACACGAGATCCACCAACAATATAATATCATAGTAAAAACACGCCTTACATATGTACACAACATGTTTCAAGCTTGACATCCTCATTAAGACCTTCATATACAAGTGCAAAATTTCCTATCTGACATTCTCCTCTGGTTGGATTTTGTTCCAGATGAAGGGTTGCCAAGTTCTGCGGTGCTTCCTAAAACTGAATTCCATGAATAGGATTGTTCTGCCATATTTTAATGGGTAAGATTTCACCCTTACATGCAGCTTGTGCAGAGAAAAACGCTGAAAATGCATATATTTTAACAAAAAAGATTCAGCATAATGAAACAGGAAATGATACAAAAATAAAGATTCACAGGGTTATAAAACCAAAATGTGCATATTCAAACAACTAACAAGTTGGCAGATCTCACTTTCATTCCTATGTAAAACTCCAAATGTCACCAGGTTTCATGCTACTTTTTCACTTCTATTTTTAAAAATAATTTATATCTGATGTTAATTACTTCACTTTCCATAATGTAAAGCAGGCATGCTGTGGAAACATGTATATCGAAGGTTGATATACTGTGGAAATAAATTACTATTAAGCAAAGAAACTGATTATACCTCAGCTTGAATATTTGCAATTGATCCAGTAATTCCATTCTCAGCACTTATGTTACTAGAGCTATTGTTTGGAGAACTGGGGCCAGATCCAGGAGCACTGTTGCACATGGAATCTGAAACATATTCAGAAGCATTTATCAAAAAACTGTCTTGCAAAATATTAAAGACTGTACCCCTATAGTTAAAAAAAACAGCCCATCCTTTAATTTTCTGTTAGTATTCCAAAAGGAACTTAACTGTACAACTGTGGCAAGATAGTAATTAACAGTCACTGGCATCTCTTACATTGAGAATGAATCCATATATACCCAAATACTCCAAAACAGTTTATCTGTCATCAGTGTAGATAAGATGCATAATCTCAAAGATAACTGAAGAATATATTTAGTAAATGGCTGCAGTGTAATTTTGCTACCTTTTCTAATCAAACAGAACAGAATCAATGACTTCATGTCAACATGTAACTGAGAAAATGAATGGAAACCTGCTCATGCATAGAGAAAACAGCAAAATTTCCTTCTAGGGCCAGGATAACTGACACAGAGATCTACACAGGAGGATTCTATACTAATACATCCCCCAAATCTCAAGTACAGTTCCTAACCGTACAAATTTGAACCATTATAAAACAAGAAAATAATACGACTTGTACTACGTATAATTGCCAGAGATGCAAAGAAATTAGGTTTTATGCCATCTGTTGGAAAGGCCCTATTTTTTCCTAGCAAAAGTGAAGAAAGAATTTGGTATTTTATACAATATTATCCAATGGCTGTTCTGTTGGGCTATTTAAAAATACCAGCAGACACAGATCTTGTAATTATTAATTACTTCCAAAAATGAATGTATCTTATTAGAAGACACTGCATGCTGCTAAATATGACTGGCATCTCAGAATTAAGCAACAGTCTTTTGGTATAATGGTTACATTTACCTAGGCGTTATACACATTTGTTTTGTAATTTTTAAATATTAAATTGAATGCTGCCTCTACAACCCACCTGCAACATCTAATGGTCGCTTCTTATGAGCTGTAACTACAGGACCATCTTTCCTTCGTAATAAGGGGCTACTGCGTCTTTCAGCCACCTTCTGCTTTAATCTGGATCGCAATTTGAGATTGGGTTCTGATGCTGTAAGGAGAAGAAGGATGTGTGGGAGAAAAGAAAGGTTACTGTCTCTCACACACACAGCGGTGACAATGACCTGATCGTCTATTACAATTATTATTTTCATTTATAGTCCATGTTTCTCACTGGGACTTTTCAATAAATCAGTAAACAGTTTACAGGATATGGTAACATCTGAATCTAACAGCAAAGATTCTAAGTAAAACAAAATAATGCAGTTGGACTGGGATTGTAGAACAGGGGGGTAAAGGGAAGAAAAAGAACAATGCAAGCAATCATATCTTTTAAGGCAACGAGACCATCAGAGTAGGGGAGACTTTGCACATTTCATGAAATGACAGAAGTGTGGGTGCCTTCCTAATTGCCTCAGGCAAACTACTCCATAGCGCAGGAGCTGCCATAGAGAATGCATGGGCAGTTGCCATTTCTTACTGTTTGCAAGGTGGCACCTTCAGAAGGCTTCGCTCAGATGAGCAGAACTGTTGAAGTGGAACATACCAGGAGAGGCTGTCCTGCACGTAAATGGATCCAATGCCTTTAAGGTCTTTGTAGGTGGTAACTAGAACTGAACCCAGAAACCAACTGGTAACCAATGGAGTATCTCCAGGAAGGGAATAATATGCAGATTCCGATTAGCATCTGATAATAGCTGGGGTGTGGCATTCTATAACCAACTGGAGTTTCTGAGATGTCCTTAAGGGGAGGACCCATGTAGTGCAAACTACAATAGTCCGGCAGCCCATAGCATGGTTTCACGTGGCTAGGTCCAGCAGTCAAGTCAGAGGCTACTTGGAGTTGGCAGAATACCTTTTTTGCAGCTGCACCAGCTTGCTTCTCCAGCAATAAAGCTGGATCAAGTATCACCCCATGGCTCTTAATTGAATCAGCAAGAGTCAGCTGGATCCCATCAAAAGCAGGGAGCACCATGTCCTTCCCAACTAACATTACGTATGTCTTGGCTGGAGTCGGTTCCAGCTCGTCTCCTCATAACCATTTAACTACAGCAGCCAAGCACTGGTTCAGGGTCTCATCTGCAACGTTAAATGCCTCAAGTGATGATCCCCAGCTGGTGTCCATGGGTTCCACAGGGTTCACCAATGTTTTCCCTAGCACTTGCTTTCTCCTATGGTCTTAGGGATATGATCCAAATGGTAATGAATGGAACAGAAAAGAACAGGAAGATTCATGCTGCTCCCTGCCAGATGACTGGCTAGCAAAGTGCTGAGCTCATTAGGGGCAAGTGTGCTGGGCCAGACATGGACTTTCTTCTGTTTCTGGGCAGAAAAACAACCTCCTCCTATTGCCATGCAGAGCAAAAAACAACAACCCTGTCTTTAAAAAGTGGAACCAAATAGTGTATTTCCCCAAAGGAAAGAGCTGGTTTTGGCTGAGGTGACAGGGTTGCCAAGTATTAGATATTTTTCTTCCACTCTGATCACCAGAGTAGTGGAATGTGAGCCAGTATGCTGTAATGGATAAATATGTCAGATTGGAATATGGAAGATCCAGGTTTGAATCTCTGCTGTGTAAGCTTGCTGAGTGATTTTGGGCCAGTCACTAACTCTTAACCTAATCATCATCACAGGTTTGTGAGGATAAATTGGAGGACAGGAGAATAATATAAGTAGTCTTGGGTTCTTATTGGAAAGAAAGGCAGGGCATAAATGAAGTTATTTAATCCATTAATTAAAATTCAACATAATTGAGCAGACTTGTACAGAAAAGGGAACAGAGACAATGCCTTATCTAAAACAACTTAAAGAAAACATTTGGTATATTACATGAACATAAAAAACTACAATTTACCTGTTTTTCTGAGTGGAAAGTCATCTTTGGAATCATACATCCCTAGCACAGGGTGATTGTAGGTACCCGATACTCCACTTTGTGGAGGAGAGCTCTGGTCAAGAGAACTGTGCTGTGTTTTCCTAAGAAAAAGGATATTACTGAGGTCAAGATCACATAGCCTTAAATATACTAAGTGCCACAGGTACACTTAGTCTATCCTAGTTTATCCTGTTGCCTTTAGAAAGCAGGTAACATAGCTCTTTACTTTCTGTAATGGCCTGACAAGAAACAGGAACGCAAACAATGAATACCATCACACACACACATCTGCCAGCTACATCCATTGTCCTACACCTGTTAGGACAGAGTGTCAGGTTTTTATATGTTTCCTGTAGCTTTCAAGGGTGCTGACTTTGATAGATAAAGCACAGAATACCTTATATACCTAAAGCCATTTCCAACACGGAAAACATTTCCAGTTAAGGAAAAGCAGGAAACACTTGTATAAATTGTCACCAGTGATAACTACACCCACATTTATTCTGCTGCATGTACACAGTGCTTGGAGTTAAAAGATACAACTTCCCACACGCTCAATTACACGCAGATTTCATTTTTTTAAGGGAAAAAAATCTAGGAAAAGTATAACATTCGGAGTGTCCCTTAGAAATTGTTGTCAGTAGTTCCCTTGCAACTATTTTTTATCTTATATTTTATTTATCTTTGGATTTATATCCCGCCCTACCCCAAAGGCTCCATTATGCCTGTTATCCTAACAACAAGGCAGGCTGGAACATTTATTTCCCATTCCCAAGGCAATTACAATATTGATATTTTTTTTTTGCTCTCAAGTCACAGCTGACTTGTAGCGACCCCATGGGATTTTCAAGGCAAGGGATGTTCAGAGGTAATTTTGCCATTGCTTGCCTCCATGCCACAACCCTGGTATTCCTTGGAGGTCTCCCATCCACATACTAACCAGGGCCAACCCTGCTTAGCTTCCAAGAGCTGACAAGATTGGGCTAGCCTGGGCTATCCAGACCAGGGTCCTAACATTAATACCTGAACAAGAATTGTGCAGAACAGAGGACTGAACAAGGACTGCTTGCTTACCCATACCAGAAACGAGGATCATTGGAAATGCAATGGTTGAGATTCCGCTGGGCTAAAGCTTTTTTTTTATTCAAAACAAATTCTTGTAACTTCATTTTTACCTCTGTGCTTGCCACGGCACCTGAAACAGCAAAACCAAACAAAAATATACCAAGACCCAATGCACAAACTTGAAATTTACTTCAAATGTAGAAAACGGTTGTCTAAAGCTTTTAATTAAAAACCATTTCACTTTAAAGGCTATACATTCTTTTTTATGAGGACAGACACACAATTACACTGAGGCTTAGAAATGGAAATTTAATCAGAGATTTATCTTTTTCCTAAAATGGGTGGAGCAGCTGAATATGATTTTATGCACAAATGTGTTTAGACAAACACTGACGTAAGTTATTCTAGCCTTTCTTAATCAAAGGCATTTAAGAACAGACTTTTTTTTTTACAAGTTCGTGTTTTTTAAAAGTCACATCTGCAGGCAAAGGTTGAGATGAAAGGCTCATGTGCAGACACTGTCTTTCAAATAATGAACTTTTCCCACAATATATGTTTAAAATGGATCTACATAATATTTCAGTTCACAGTCAACCATCCATTTTGTCAAACCGGAAATCTGACTTGTAAGAAAATTGCATATTTTCAAAGTCTAGAATTATATTTCCCAACAGCATGGTTTTTAACCACTATTTCCTTCAGAACATAGCTGTCTATTCTTGTGTACATAAATTCTTAAGCTGTAACTCTGATGAAGCAATAAGCAGAAAAATCGGACTTCCCATGGATTTCCATTCTGTTCTAATGAAGAAAAAGTGTTTTGAAAGGTTACCTCTGTGTAGGACTTTATAAAAGATAACATTAAGATGCAAGGAATAGCACTACTAAGACTGAGATATAGCTTTGATGTACAGGAAAACTATGGAAGTCTTAAGGGACTGACAACTTGCTCCTAAAGGCAATGTCATGGCTTAGAGGCCACTGCACAGAGTAAAAAAGATCTAACAGTGAACATGAATAACACAAAGGAAAATCCACAGTAAATTGTTTGCTCAGCACAGAATCCTCCCGTGAGAAGTCCATGAACTCTTATTGCAATAAAATGGACCTCTTAGAATAAACTGTGTTTCAGTCAGTGGAAAACCATGTAGTCAAAATAAATGGCAGAGCCACTTTTAAACTAATTCCTGAGGGAAAACCAGCAGGAGTTGGGGAGCCTCTGGTTAGAGGCAATTCGTCCCAAAGGGATGAGGCGGAAGATAAGTATTTTTGGTGAGAATGAAAGAGAACATCAGAATGAAAGTAAGGCAGTAAAGAAGGGGTGTCTGGCGAAATCTAAGGGCTGAGGGAGACAGTAATCTTTGGAGAAGAAAATGAGGCACAGATGTCTATATGTCCATGACAGAATTGGGGGGACGACGACGACATAACTGTATCCCACTGATTTTCTCAGGTGGATAGCCATGTTGGTCTGAAGCAGCAGAACAAAGTTTGAGTGGCACTCTTAAGACCAACAAAGTCTTATTCTAGGTATAAGGTTTCATGTGCACACAAACTTCTTCAGATAAATATACGCGTTCTGGAGAAGCAGCCTTCGATGGATCTTAAATTAGCATTCGACACAAGGACCCTCAATCCTTGTCCATCCTGCATGCTAAAATCATGTAAGGACCACATCAACAAGTCCTCGGTGTCTATCATAAATCAATCACTAAGGAAACCTTCCCTCAGCTACTCATAGAGGCAGTTATTCGTCCCTACGTAAAACAAAAACAAAACCAACTACAGAAAAATGATGTGGCCAATTACTGTCCTGTCTCTAATCTACACTTTCTGGGCAGTGACTGAAAAAGCAGTAGTCTATGCCACTATGGTTTGTACTATTTGTATTGCATGCGCTATTCTGCTGCTACTACATTGTTTTCTACTCCAGTAATTTCATGTTCTGCTCTGCTTTGTTGCATTGCTTCTAATTTTGTTCTCCTAGTCTCACCGCATTGATTTTGTACTCCTGGCCTCACTGCATTAATACATGTCTGGCAGGCAGATAAGGACTGAGCAACAGCTATAAAAGTTGTGGAAGGATAAGAAATCAGGAGGGTGTGCAGGAGAGGGGATGAGGCAGTGGCAACACTTGGAACCATCAATCCCCAATCAGCTGGGTGCTAACAGGCAGGGGAAGCAGAAACTGAGTCCTTTGTGCTTTCTGCTTGCAGTTGCTTGGTGATGTGGGGGTGGAGAGGATAGTCTGTCCCACTCCTCACCAGCAGGCAGGTGACAGCAAGAGTCTTTAAGCAGGAAGTGCTGAATGGAAGATTTGTATTCACTTACCGTGAAGCTTCCTTCTCGGTGGTCCAGAGTGGGGCAGTCCTTAGCTCCTTACTCCTGGGAAAGTACCTCCCCCTTCCGTAGGCAGGGCCAGCAAACTTTAATCCCAGAGGGGAGGGGCTTATCCTCTGATCCCAAGTCATACCGAAAGCCACCTCCGAGCTGCTGTAAATTCACTTAAAAAATAACTCTTTCCCCCTCAGACAACTGGGGAATACCATCACAGCCATGGGCTTAAACAAATACAAACCTGTATTTTAACCATTAGAGCAAACAAACAGCAACAGTCCACCACATCACGTAATCAGTTAGACCATATTCATG